AGTTAGTTTAAAAATAAAATAAAAATATCTTATGGACTTCTTTTAATTAAATAATAATTATAAAAATTAAATATTATATGTAAAACAAGGCATTAGAAGTCGTCGCAAGAACTAAGTTAGTAAGAGTTAGTTTAATATATAATATAGCTTATAATGTAAACATAAAAGGTATTATAAACGCAAGGCTTAATGAGTTTTTAAGCTATAATGTATATCAAAGGTACTCTGTGGATGATACTCATAGTCGATTCTTATATTTAAGACTCTTTTAAGTACAGTCTCATGATAAGACGAATCAGAGGATCATATTAGCATCTTAAGTTATATTTAAGATAATCTTAAAATAAGAACGGAATATAAATATCGACCTATGAACATAAGTTTTATACTTTTGATATACCATAGCTAAAAAACTACCTATTATTAAGTCTTACACTTATGACATCTTATGTTCACCATTCTACATTTTATCCTACATTAGTCAAGTCGATCGTAAACGTGTTGCAACAGTCAACAGTAAAGCTCATTTTTTAAATTGACGATTCATATTGATCAACTCACAACTAATATAAAATTAGGGATAATAAATCCTAACTCTCATTTCATCGAAATCCAATTTTCATATAATTAATATCAATCATTAAAAATAAAATTTCTTAAGTCTATAAAATATAAAAATAATAAAATAATAATAAGAATAATAATAAAGAAAGGATATCTTTCCTTTCAAAATTTCTCTTCCTTGAAAAAAGCTCTAAATAAAAAAAAACTCATCTAAGATAGATTTCAATAAATAAAAACTTTTGCAAACTAATAATTTGATCGTAACAAAGGTACTTGTTTTAACTATCCAAATACATTTCTTTACAGACAATGTATATCTCAGTCACCGAGAAACAGCAAGTATTGATGCTATTTTTGCTCGAGATCATCCTAATCGCGCTAATAGGGACATTTATGTCGTATGGTCCAGATGCAAACGCTAATCTGCTAAAAAATCGTACCGGTCAGTATACAATATATATATGTACAAATGTGCATATGTATATTTCATATATGTCTTGTAGTTAAGCATTATTATTGATATAAATCGTTTATGTGTCTCCAAATTTGCGTTATTAGTAAATATAAAATATTATTAAATAAAAAAAATATGTAAATTTAAAATTAAATATTAAATTCATACTCTTCTACAAAATTTTATAGAATTGTTACATATAAAATATTAATTTTTATACAAACAATTCTTTTAAATATAACTTTAAAAAAATTAAGGTATATACAATATATATTTAAATATATATATATTTAAAGAATTTATTATAACATTTTTTACGTTTTTTATAATTTATAATCTTTACAATCTCACAATTTACTGAAACATAAAAAATGTAAAAAAAAATTAAATATTAACGTTTTTAAGAATAATAATTTTTAAAAAACTTTGAAAATCTCTTTTAAAAATTAGAAATTCAAAAAATGTTAAAAATTTAGAGCTCAAAAAATTGTATAAATTCTAAAAACTTTTAGAACTTTTAGAATAGAGAATTCAATAAATAATTGGCCAGTATTAATTGACCAGAAGTTTCTATAACGGTGTGTTTAAAATGAATACTAATTATATTTATAGGCACCGCCGACAAATCTGGACAAATAAAAAAACCACAAAACGATCCGTTACGAATTTATCCGAGTAAGTAAATCAATTATGTTTTATTAATTTAAGTAAGAGAAGGGAAAATATGAAGATGAAAAAGAAATTTAGAAAAAGTAATTTCATCTAAAAAAATATGTTGACCACGAATATCCCATTCAAAACAGAGTCAGTTTAATCTAAAACATTTTTTTAAATGATTTATTTTCAAAAATGTGAAGAATGAATAGAAAAATTAAAATAGATTATCTTATCTGTATATTCTGCATTGCACAAAAGGAAGAATATACACATTATCATATGAATAAAAGTTACGAGTTCTGACCATCTTGATCTTTCTTATTTTAAATATCGATTCATTATCATATGTTCAAAAGAGACGTTGTTGGAGAGACGTTGTTTGTGCGTTCAGTTGGAAACAGTTCGTTTACAGCATCTGTCAGAATTGTCATGTCAACGTTTCTTCCAATTAGCGTCTACTTGTAAAGTTTATTTTTAAACTTAATAGGTTTTTAATCATGTAATTTTTTTCAATTAATATACTAGTATAATCAATAAATTATAATTATTTTAAATAAAAGTAAATAAGGCTGTTGTAAAAAGGATTGCGGAATAAATTAAAAATATTTAAAGTGTCTCTTTAAAAAGTTGTTCATAAAAATTATTTATAAAAGGAGAATAAAATTCAATAATAACGACTTTAATTTATTCATATGTTTTTCTTTTTTTAGAAATAACTGCATAATAATCATAAAATTAATATAAAAATTAATAAATTAATCTTAATTCTTATATTTACAAGTAATACAAAGAAATTAATATTTGTTTTAATTTGAAAAATTTTAACTCATTGTATTAATATTTTAAGATTAACTTAAAAATTAAAGTGTACACTTTCTTATGTGATCAATTAAATTTAAACCCATATGCATTGAAAAGAAATGAATCAATTTTCATGAAATATGAAAATACCAATAATTTCGAAAAAGTCACGACCACGCATATTTACCGTATGACACTCCGTACATTGCGGTGGCTTCATCGGCATATAGTCAATCCCTGCACAATGCTGCAACTGGTACGAATGAGAATGTGCAATGGGCCAGTGCACGCAATCATACTTCTTTTTATCGAGGGTTTTCTGTTGTGTGCTTTTCTTGCCATATATGATTACGCCCCGGAGGCGGATGCCAGTAACCGACTGAATAGCGTCCATCCTTATTTGAATGGACAATCAAAGTCTCTACCCACCACATATACATGTGAGTTCAACTTATATTGATGCTGTCATTTTCTACCATTATTATTTTTCTGTTATTTTCTTCTTTTCCTTATTATTTGTTTTATTTCGCCTACTGTCAATTCTTTTTGAAATCTTTTGCTTTCTTCTCTTTCATATATGTATGTCTTCGAAGAAGACTCAAATATAAAACATCATGCAAAATATCATGAAATCTGTAGCAGTGTATAATCTGAAAAAATAAACGTAAAATTTTCAATTGTCTATTTACTGGGTCATCGATGATCTTAATTATTCAATGAAAAAAAGACTTTCAATATCTTCTGTTATTTTGTAAAATTATGAGAAAGTGATAAAATAATAGTGTATCTTTCATTAAAGAAGAATATTGGGAATGAAATAAAAAAAATAAATAAAATATAAAATTAAGAAAAGTCACATGTTAAGCAAATTAAAAAATTAAAGTAATAATAAATGTAAGTCTCAATGATGACATGCAATAGTATATGAAATGAAATATACAACACAATAACGAATGAAATAGAAATGGCTGTATGAACCAACAACAAATTAATTACATTAAAACTGAATGTACGAATATATAATTATAAATAACAGTGTGTCTCTTTACTCAGTCTCTATCTCTTTACTTTTATCTCATTAATCAGGCAAAATTCATTTTAAATTAAAAAATTTTACACAGCCAAAAAATTGTAATATATTTGCAGTAATAATATAACATTTATTGATAACAAATTCTGACATGTATTTTATATAACGCATATTTCTTCTTTAATACGAATATCAGTTTTTTATCTGTTATTTATAAAATGTGACATAACTCTCCTATTTTATTGAATATGTAGAATTTGCTAATTATTAACTGAAAAAAATTTTATTATCATATTTATTAATATATTAACAGATTATTTATAATATTATTACATTATCTTCCACTATACTATCTTAAGTATCAAAAAAGATAGAATTATAAGAAAATAATAGAATTTTATTTTGAAAAAAAATTATGACTCTCTTATTATTATTTTTAACATGTTTATTTTTGCAAGTATACATATATATATATATATATATATATATATATATATATATATATATATATATATATATATATATATATATATATATATATATATATCGAGGAAGAAGTATGTATACCTTTTCCTTTCGTAGGGTTTTGACAAAATCGCTTGTGATCATATTCTGTCATAAGTTCTCCGAGTCATTTTTCCTCTAATTATTTAGTCTTAAGATATAAGCAATGCGGTGCCGAGTATAAATTGTGATCAACATAAATTGTAAGTTAAATCTTTCACTGTCATTTTATCCTATAATCCTGAATGATAAATTAATGTGTAATTAACTATGTATGTAAGTATTATAGAAGTAAATGAAGAAAGAAAACATTATCCGCTTGTCAACTTAACGCAAATTGTTGCGGATATATCATTTACAAAATGCTTGTTTTTTTTGTTCTTGGTTTGTCTAAAATGGTACAGTGTACCAAGATGTCCATGTGATGATTTGGATTGGTTTTGGCTTCCTGATGACGTTCCTCAAGAAGTACAGCCAGAGCGCTGTTGGTCTGACTTTCCTTGTAGGTGCAATTCTCGTCCAGGTGGCTTTAATCTGCGATGGCGTAATAAATATGCAGTTAGGCCATAAGGCTTACCTCTCATTAGAGAGGTCAGTGTTTATTTTGATTTATATTAAAAATTGCAAAGATAAAGTGATTAGATTATATTTTATATTAGTTTGATTTTATATGTGTGGGAACATAAACGGTTTATTTTTACACTAAACTTAAATAAAATAAAAAATAACCTCTTTAAAGTTTGAGAAAAGATATTTATTTCTTCATCATGTATCGTTACGAAACTTTTCAGTCTGCTTAGTGCAGACGTTGCTGTGGCTACGCCGCTTATCTCCATGGGAGCAGTTTTAGGCAAAGTGACTTATATGCAACTGGTGTTCATGGGAATAGTGGAGTTGATTATGTTTACCATTAATAAGTATGTAGGCGAAGAATTGTTTATGGTGAGTTTATTCCTATTTTTTGCATGATTACAATAAGTAGATTGGCGCATGAAAAAGAAAGAAAGAAGAAAAGAGAGAAAATTAATCATTTGATGATATTTTAATATAAAATATTTGGTATAACAATATATATGGATATAAATTTTTTATTTATCTACATATAATGTATAATTAAAATTAGAATATAACAATAAATTTTTATCATATACGTATATAATATATAAACATACGTATATTTTTTATCATTTTGTAAATATTATTGATTATAAATATTATTCTATTTTATACAATACCAATATTATTTGAAAACTTTAAAGTAAACAATAAGTGATACTTGTTTTATTGTAAATATATGGTGTAATTTCTGTAAGATAAGATATACTTTCCTATATTATGTAAATTTTTTTCACATTTTTAAGGCTGTTGACGCTGGTGACAGTATGTTTGTTCATGTGTTTGGCGCATATTTTGGATTGGCAGTTAGCTTCGTATTCGGATTGAAGGAAAAACCAAAGGAACATGATTTGGAAGGATCGAATTATCAATCAGACATTTTTGCCATGATCGGTATGTGTCAAAGAAGCTATTTGTATGTCTAATATAATATAATAATAATAATAATAATAATGAATAATGGATATTTGATTAAGTTTTATCTTTTTTTTTAATATTACATAATATTTTAAATATTATATATATAATTTTATCACATTTTCTAAGTATTAACTGCTAAAGTAGGATAATAAGATAATAATTCATTACCTTTAGGTACTGTGTTCTTATGGCTATTTTGGCCGTCATTCAATAGCGCTGCATTGACAGGAGATGATCAACAGAGAGCTATAATCAACACTCTGTTATCAATATCTGCGAGTTGCGTGATCACGTTTGCTGTATCGGCATTGGTTTCTAAGGACAACAAATTTAATATGGTACACGTACAAAACTCGACTCTAGCTGGAGGCGTTGCTATTGGCACAGCTGCAGGTTGATTATTACCTCTTTAATATGCAAATACTAGATTTAAAAATATTATATACATATATTATATATACATATATTTCCCATGTAGCATTTTTATATAATACATAGTGTAAAATATAGTAACATATAGTATAACATATAGTACATAGTGTAAAACCATATAACACATAGCAAAATAATTTGAACTTTCTAAATACACATAGGTATGATGTGTCAACCAGTAGGTGCTTTGATCATCGGTGCCATATCCGGTGTAATTAGTGTGCTGGGATACAAATACCTTACGGTAATAATGAAAATCATTATGCAATAGCGACAGTTGATTAGTTATTTGTTTTTAAAACTGTTTTTAATGTTTTTTCTGAAAATTAGTTATCTACGAGGAAATTCATATTATACCAAATCTATATTAGAAATATATCAGAAGAAAAGATTTGCTTTTTGATGATTATATCTTAATGCTTTCATGCAAAAAATACGAAATTAATCTCTCTCTCTCTCTCTCTCTCTCTCTCTCTCTCTCTTGAAAAAAGTAGTAAATAACGAGTAATACCGTAAAGTTAGTTTAAAATGTTATACATTAAAAAGTAACGAGATATAAGTCGCAACTTGTTATTTACTGTTGCAACTTGTTATTTTTTCAATAACAAATGACTTTTCCAACTCGTTATAAATAACTATGACCGTTCCAAACTTGGATGTTACATTATCATCATAAAAAAATTTACAATGTCATTATCCAAATCGTTACAACAAGGTATTATAACTAAGTAACTAAGTAAAGGTAATTATAGTAACTAATTACTTTTATTCTTTGATGTTTTATATATATATATATATATATAATACAAAAGAGAACACTTTTATTCGCTATAGAAAGAAATATGTATAACAAACATATGTTGGAACAAAGTACATATATATTAGATTTTTCATTCTAATCAGGAATTTTGCTAGACTCTATGTATTTATATTAATTTTTTTAACAAAAAATATATTAACAACACATTGATTCTTTACACAAAAATTATATGAATACTGATTGGTTATTTATATCAATCATTTATAAGTCTATTCTCTTTTAATTTTTGCACTTAAGGAAAGATTATCAGTTAGTTAAAAAAGCTATTTTTATAAATTTTTTTTGAAACTATATATAAATTTATTTTAAACTTTATATATCATAAAAATAGATATTTTATTTATTACTGATAATTTATAGTAGTAAAAATAATGAAAATTATAATAATTATAAAAATATTTGTAATATGTTCGAGTCTCATGGCTATCATAAAATCTAAATATTTATTGTTAGTCATCTGTAGCAAAAGAATGAAAGTAAAAAATCATTAATCATCTACAGGTGTGTGTGTGTGTGTGTGTGTGTGTGTGTGTGTGTTCGGTTATCATTAGAATCAGCATTAAAATACATTTACTTTTTTTAAAAAAATACATTTACTTTTTTCATTTTTTTTATAACGTAAAATAAACTTTTTACAAAAAACTTAAATTGTATTATAGTTGAAGATTTTTCCATTACAATGAGTAAGTTATATGATTCTGCAAAGTTTCTGTTCTAATAAATGTTCTCTTGTTCTAATAAATCATTCTTTTATTAATTTATTTACCTTTTTTTACAGCCATTTATGCAGAAACATCTTCGTATCCATGACACTTGCGGAGTACATAATTTACACGGAATGCCTGGCGTGATAGCTGCATTTTTTGGAGCACTTATGGCATGCTTAGCTACGGAAGCCACTTACGATTATTCCCTATACGAAGTACATAATTCCATTGTCTTGAATTAATCATTTTATTGTTTTCGAGTAATTAACTCTTATTTATGTTGCTGAGCGGGACTATAATTTAACCATCTCAGTTTTAAATTACTTTCGCGGTAATTGCCGCACAAATAACTTCCACTAGTAAAATGAAAAGGTGAAATAATCATTTGAAACTGGATTATCTAAGGAATATATTTATTAGAATATATCAATGGTACAGGAAATTGTATATAATGTTTGATAAAATTCTAATTTCAGTCTTATTTTTATCTGTTTTCTATCAAATTATGCATAGAAATTTGCAATTTAAAAATAATATAACTAAAAATTTGAATGTTCTTAAAGATATTATAAATTTTTATTAAAAATAAATTATGATTATTGTTAAGTTAGAATAATTATTTATTAAATAATTTTATTTATAATTATCTTTGATGAATTTTTGTATTTGTTAACAGATTTTTCCTGCGCGAGCACCGAGCTCAGAGCTAAAAATTAGTGAGATGCGCGACAATTATGGAATATCAACAGGATACAATAGAACGGCGTATCAGCAAGCGGGATATCAATTACTGGCGCTAGTGGTTACCCTTGGGATCTCTATTGTTTCTGGATTAATAACAGGTACTTCTAATCAATCTCCATGTCACATATTGTAACCAAAGATAGAAAAAATTTTCTTTATTTTTATTAAATATGTTTTTAATATAATATCTTTTATAGTAATAAATTGAATTTTCGATGACAATGAAAAATTTTTTACAATTTTTGAATGTTTTACTTATATGTCAAAATAAATTAATTTTTGTGTCTGATTTAAATGTGCTAAAAATTTATTTTTTACTTATTTTTTTATTAGAACATAAATGTATAATTTAATCTATATGCTTCTTGCAAAAATAAATTTACGATTTTACAATATTTATAATTATTACACAGTATTTGTAGTTATTTATTAATAAACAAATCGAAAAAAGAGTTTTCAAATATTTTATAAATCTATCAAATATGAATAATTATTGTAAAAAGTAAAATTTATTTACTTTAAGATATATATAAGATATAATATAAGGAAATATTCATATAATTCTTTGATTTCAATACAATTTAATATGATTCTAATGAGATGCCAGAAATTTTCTTTTTTCTTCTTTGCTTTCGTTTTCTTTTCTTTGTTTTCTTTGTCTCTGTTTTTTCTTTTCTTTTCCTTTTTCCTTGTTTTTTGCACTTTTTTTTTTCTTTTATAAATGTAATAAATATAGATTGCAATGATTTTGTCATTATCGATTTAAAAAAAATAAAGGTGTATGTAACACTTGATGCGCGCACATAAAAATGATGGTTTTGATGAAATGTTTAAGAATTTAGTCAGAGACAATACTAAACATAATTTGGATCCATGAAATAATTATATAGGACGCTCAAATTTGTTAGAATGTCAAAACTTTTTTAGCATTATTTATTATGATTTTTATATAACTATTTTTTTTAATGATCTAACAAAATTTCCGTGGGTATATAGCTAAATTAGAGCCAAATATTTAAATACTTTAGCAAAATCATTCTATGTATTTTTTATTTTTTCTAAAATATTAGTAATGGGCATAATGACAGATAGGATTGAAGCTTCTCTATTCATTCATCATTATTATTTTAGATTGTGACATAGAAGTAAGAAAATACACAATAAAAATTCTTATAAAGCACATTATGCGGAAATAAAACAACGTTTACACTCGATAGGACCGACTTGTAAAGTATACCAAAAACTTTTTTGTTTCATTAATGAATAAATAACATGTATTGAACTGTGTTTGGTTTTGTTTATGCTGGACACTTTATTTTATCTTTATTGCTTATTATATGGAATAAAATGAAGCTTACAATGCAGAAGCATCAAACTGACTCAAACCCTGAAAATAAATTATGTATAATCAAAAACGAAATAAATTATGTTCATAACTGACAAACTGTCGAATCAATATATATAATATATAGAAATAAATGTGGTTTATTAATATTAATTCTCCCAGAAACAAGAAGATAGTTTCATATATTTTACAAGACTATTTTATCGATTGTAAATGTTATCTTCATAAAAAATACTTCTATTTAAATATAATTTGCAAAAGTTTTATTGTGTATTTCTTTGCTAGTCACAATCTGAAATTATAGGTAAGGTGAAATTATAGTGGTAAGTGAACAGGAGCCTTAAATCCCCATTCCTTTTGTGTCCTCTATTGCGCTCTCCATCTAAAGCGAATTAAAAGAGAGATACTGATTTAACATTCTCTTTCTAACAGAACACAGATGCTAAGATCAGTTAAAATAGGAGAAACGCATAGTTTCTATACCCATTACGTCTTTTCCTATCAGATTTTTTCTCTCTATCATTTTCCTCTATCTTTTCTATCTCTCTTTTTATACTTTTCCTCCCTTTCTCTCTCCTTTTCTTTTCCCTCCCTCCTTTTGTTCTCTATTCGTCTGTTTTTCTGGTTTTGTCTCGCCTTTCTCTTTTTTTCTCTCTTTACCTCACTTTGATAGAAATTCAATAATGCAATTTTTTTTCCATCAAATTATACTTAAATTGTAAAATCTAATTCAAGTCCTTAAAGCGCAGATGTGTATATGTGTAATAATACAATTATCTTTCTTTCCTTTATGTATTAACAACCGTCGATTTTATTCTTTGTGCATATAAAAACTTCAACTGGTATTTTGAAATTAATTTAAACCTTTGTCTATACTAGTGCCAGTTCACGGCTTTTTTAATCGTTCTTTAAACTCATATTTTTCTTAAATTGAATTGTCTTTATTTGTTTATAAATGAGCTAATTATTTCTTATTTTATTAATTTTGTTCATTTACTTCTTGTGATTATTGTATGTATAACTTAATTTACAGGTTTATTTCTATGTATGATGATGTGCGGATGGGTCACTGAGCAGCAGAAATTTGATGATGGGGTTGTCTGGGACTTGGAAGAGGAATTCCAGCACGAATTCGGAAAAAATCGAAATGATAACAATCGCCCTAATGATCATATAGTTATGGGCAATATTTAACATGTTGATATAATACACAGTATAAAATGTAAAGTACGCTCTCACAATGTTATTTAAGCTTGCATGTAAACATTAGTATTAAGTACCATATTTCAATATTTGTGTAATTAATTCTTACTTAATAATTAGTTCCTGTTTGCACCTTTAGAAGCCACAAATGATTACAAAAAACCGATTACTTTACGATACAGATTTTTACAATTTGCCAAGTACTAAAAGCAATTAATATCGACGATATAAAATGTATCTTTATAATCTTTTAAAAAGTATCTCTTACGTAAAAAAATTTAAGAAAAAACATTGTTATAAAATGTTTAAAAAATATATTATTTGTGTTTATAAATACAAATAAAACAATTTATAACATTTTTCTTTTTGTAAATATAAGCAATAAATAAACGGAAAGTTATAAATAAATAAAAGTAAGAAGTGTATAAGTGATAAATAAATAAGTTCTCTTTCTCTCTCTCTCTCTCTCTCTCTCTCTCTCTCTTTTATTTAAACCTATAATATATTTTTTATAAATTTCTTTACAATAGTTTAAACTCCCTCTAAGTGTATTATATTAAAACCTATAATAAATTTTTAATAAAATTGTTTAGAAAAGGATTAACGCGGTCAGACACATAATTATTAATCTATAAATGTGATTTGAGATCTAATCATTAATTAGAAATTATAATAAATCTTATTGTTTTACTGAGTATATAAGGTATTTGCAAAAAATGTATCTTTTATTTTGAATTGTCTAAAATTCATAAAAATTGAAACATTTGCATATATTTCTTTGTCAATGTAATTTACTATAGTCCTCCATTTCACTTTCTTCTCTTCTTATATTTTTTTCTTTTCTCCTTCTCCGTTTTCACTCTTTTCTCTTCCTTTCTTTTTATATCTTTTTTTCTCTCTTTCTTGACTACATTTTTGAAACTTTTTCGTTACTTTCCTTTTACTTCTTTTTACAAGTTTCTATAATTCTTCACTTCATCATTTTTTTTGAGCAATCTCTTTTTCTAATATATATATATATATATAAAATTCAACACGTTCACGTTTAATTTCGGATATCTGAAATATATATAAATTAAATTTTGTTCATTCTTGTATCCATTTTAATGTAAATATCATTTATATTATTTATTACAGTATAAAACATTGTACATATAACACACTTTATTCTCGTAAATTAGAATTACCTTTTTCCTCTCTCTTTCTCTATTCTGAAAATTCACTTCGTACTATTATTCTAATGATACAAGCGCAGAATAAAAATGTTATGTACTACATTTCACTCGCTGTCTTATTCTCAGTATAATTAAGTGATTACGTGACAAATGTATAATAGAAAAATAAAACAAGAGGAAAAGTTAAGTTCACAAGAGGTTAACTATTCTAGAATAAAAACTAATTCAAAATAATAGAAGATAGAAAAAAAAGTTTTACTCTGTAAATTTTACAATCTTTTAATAAAAACTTTTATAACATGTTTTATTGATATTGTCAATGAAAAATGCAAAATTAATAGGATAAATTTTGATGGGAATAAGTTACCGGAAAAGAGAAACACAGCGACACACAGCTTCTTTATTTTTCGACGATTTATTTCTGATTATTGTTAAATCTTACAAAAGAACATATAATACATATTACAGCGCTTGTGATGGTAAATCCATAAATAGACTAAACCTAATTTATTGTTATTGCGTCTATACTTAAATTAATAGTATATATGTAAAAAAAAAAATCATTGCATTCTCCCAAGAAATATTTTCATTATAAAATACATCCGACATATATTGAAGCGCATACGTCGAATATGAAATCTTACTCCTTTAATAAATAAAGTTACTCGAATAAAAGCGTCTAATATAGCGATATACATATTAAAATATCATATGAAAATCGAACAGACAAGTTGGGAGACTTACAGAGTGAATAATAGAATAACAGAATTAGCAAATTGTTCAATTATCTACCTTAATTATTAATATCCTAATTGAATTTGTAATCCATTAGCCAATCAGTTTTTAATTTTATGATAACCTTCTTTCTTTGTTCAATAGATTTATTAATATATGAAAGAATGTGAATAGGAGAGTGAGAAAAAGAGAAAGAAGGAAACCCTGTGGAAAATTCACAGGGTCCCATTTTACTATGACTTATAGAGACTCGGGATTGACAGTGTACTTGTTCATTCATTTATCAGATTCAATTATCTAATTTATTTATTTTACTTAGTGCGATCAGGCAGATCATAAATTGTGTATGAGAGAGATTCCTAACAGCTAACACCAAACTTTTCTTAACTTTTGTATCTATAAGTTAAATGTCTTATATGATCGGTATCTTCTTTTTTATATTCTTTTCAATAAATCTTGCTTATCACTTGTTTTTAACGAAATTGTCTATATTTATAATTAATAATCCTAATAAAAAATTCCTGAATGTTTCAGACTATGTGCTTCAGATTTAATAAAAAAAAATTAGTTAATAATATTTCACTTTATTGAAAAATTGCGGCTCTAAATATGTTCATTTATAGTTTAATTTTATATCTTACGAATGATCCAATAACGTATTGTGTACGCAGTACCCCGGAACACTTTAATTTATACGCGCATTTCTTTCAACTGACAACAGGTGTCATGCCGCATTATGGCATCGAGCGAACAGCAAGATTCGACGACTTGATAAAGAGAAAAATTTTTCATAGAAAGAAAAAGATAAGTATTTATTTCATATATGTGTGTATGTGTGTGTGTGTGTATGTGCGCGCGCGTGTGTGCGTGTGCGTGTGTGTATGTGTAGAATAGAAAAGAGTATTTACTTTACCGTGGTAATTTTTTAAATGTTTATATCATGGCAGTTTAATAATATAAAATTTGATAATTTAATTTACCACTTTAAGTTCACTACTCAAAGTGGTAAATTAAATTATATATATAAAAAGATATTATTATATCTTTTTTAATAATATAAAAAAGAATAAGTTATATTATAAGCATGACAAACTATATAAATGAAAAATAAATTAACATTATGAAATAGTTTCTTCGTAAAAAATAATACTTTATGTTTAAACATATATGTATTATTTTTATAAAGCAATAATAAATAAAATAGTTTATATTCAAAATAGTTTATATTCAAATAATTCATAAAAAAAAATAATTTAATGCATTTTTTATTGCTCTTATATATTTAATTCGCCGTAACATACTTAAATTGTTCTATTACTGATTCTTTTAATTAATTATAAAATCTCTTTTCTCTACAATGCGTAATCTCTATAAATATAATTCAAAAAAATTTAATATGATGAAAGAAAGACACTTCCAATTTTTTATCAAACATGGTAACACTTAAATTAAATTTCTATTACGATTTATTTTTGAGAGATCAAAAGAGATATCAAATACATAAGAATAATAAATGCTTTAATGAAAGTAAAAAGAAATATATGAAATTGTTGTAAAAAAAAAATTTAATCGTAATTAAATTTTTTCTTTATGAAAATTGTAAATCTTAAATTAAAGCATTTTGAAATTAAAAACACTCACAACCTTTTTAATTAAATATTTTTAGCCATGATTTTAATCGAAATCTAAATTAAATTTATGACATTTAAAAAAGTTTGTAGTTTATGATTATACAAAAGGTCTCGATAGTCGATCTTCTTGAGTTCCCTACGATATCGTTTTGCGACTTGACGTTTCATATATTATATAAACATTATCACGATATTATGACAACGCATATACTATGACAAATAACACCTCAACATTATTAATAATTCTTTTCCTTATCATTGTTCCGTAGGGCCAGGTTATGTTTCACGTTATCCATATCGTGCGTTTTTTACTAATTGATTGTTGCTAATTACGTCTGTTCGCTCCAGTTGCGCTTTCCGTTTTCAATCTCGTTCTTTTTCTCTTCTAAAGATTAAAATATAAGTCTATTTAGTTTAAAACTTGTACGCAAAAAGCACAAGAAAGTGCACCTCAAACAAACAGATCGTCATAGACGTAATCGTTGTGAACTTGCTTACTAAATGTTGCGCACATACAAAAATGTTACGATTATAATCTTATAAGAAGAATGATAAAAATGCTTAATGCTCGAAAAATCTCTTGTTTTCAGTCTCATTTCGTATACCAAGAAATATATTTTGTAGGATAAAAAGTATATATTCCTTGTATTAAGTATTATATCAATTAGACACACGAGGATGATTAAACAAAATATATTAAATAATTCGCATACAATTGAATCAATTATTATTAAATGCACATGATCAAGTTATCATTTTCACGAAATTGAGTTTAAATGTAGTTTCTTGGTTAATAACAATCCACAGTACATGCTACATTAAAAAAAAGAATTAATTGGATCATTAATTACAAGAATATTGAACTGTTTATAGGCAAATGTTACGAAAAAGTATGACTATTACCAAACCTTCTTTCAAATATGTTCCAATTGATAAGCACTTATTTATATCTCTATAAATATTAAATATGAACTAAAATACTAATATATATGATAAAATTAAGGAAAAAAAAGTTTCTTGTCATTTTCCAAAAAGCTTGTTAGCATGACTCATGCATTTTCGTAATCGACTAATTCAATTGCTTTCTTCTTAATTTCTTTCCTTGATAAATATCGAAATCAGCAGTATAAAATCTTAATTTTTATAATCATATAGTGTCGATCTTAATTTTTCTTAAAAAATGTGTTAATCATATCAATTTTGATGTTCTATAGTTACACCGTGTCTTTAATTTTTTTTTAATTGTACATCAATTCTTGATATTTTTGATATTCTAAATATCGAGTCCTATACAAGGATCCAAATCTATTCATCTGATCATAGCTATTGACTTAATATAAAAAATATGTAAAACTCGTCAAATCTATAATAATAATAATGCACTTAAATCTCCGTATTCTTAACATATTAGGGTAGAGAATAATCTCCATCAAGTCCTCAATTTGATTTCGATGGCACATGCGCAGATTAAAAATGTCGCTGCGTTTGTTGTGCTATTAGCAAATGAGGTAATGATTACGTATAATATTTTTCATAGACAAAACATTTATTTATTCATAATCGATAAAAATATAAATGGATTGACTGATTTCCATGCCAATAAAGCTTTGAAGAGAAAGCCAAAATAAATAAAATGAGAAAATAATTGCCGTATTTCTTTCTCTCTTATTCGCGCCTGCGCGT